GAGAGAGAGAGAGAGAGAGAGAGAGAGAGAGAGAGAGAGAGAGAGAACGAGAGAGAGAGAGAGAGAGAACGAGAGAGAGAGAGAGAGAGAGAGAGAGAGAGAGAGAGAGAGAGAGAGAGAGAGAGAGAGAGAGAGAGAGAGAGAGAGAGAGAGAGAGAGAGAGAGAGAGAGAGAGAGAGGGAGAGAGAGAGAGAGAGAGAGAGAGAGAGAGAGAGAGAGAGAGAGAGAGAGAGAGAGAGAGAGAGAGAGAGAGAGAGAGAGAGAGAGAGAGAGAGAGAGAGAGAGAGAGAACGAGGGAGAGAGAGAGAGAGAGAGAGAACGAGAGAGCTCTCTCTCTCTCTCTTCCTCGTTTCCTCGCTCCCTCCCGACAGCAGTCCATGGGCGGGCCTTCTAAATACGTTGAAGTAAATGAAGCGACAGCAAAAGGAGCCAGCTTGACCAAGAACTGTGCCAAACCTATCAAAGTGTGTACTCCACTTCCGATACCACAAGAAGCGGAGCAAGGTATGCGACCGGGTCAAAGAAGTTCAAAAGATGGGAGCCACGTTTGACTACATCGAATCGATCAGTTCACCCCGAGGGCGAAGGAACGACGGTCTGTCCGGATCCAGGTGATCCATCTCCGGACCGCCATTTGAAGGACTTGAAAGAAGAGGCTGAGCACCCTGGCACGCAGGGAAAAGCAGTCTGGCGACTTTCGGGGCTGTTCGTCACCAGCAGCCTGCCTTGTGGAGTTCGTTTCGGTCTGTTCCAAACCTAGTCCTAGCGGGGAAGATAGATGAAGCAACCCAGTGGGGGGTTCCATATTTTCAGACCAGTGCGACGCGATCAAATTGCTAAGGTTTGAACTTATATTGTAAAAAGTCTATATGTGTAGCTGCACCTTGGTGCCCGCAACCGCCAAGGCAACAACTTGGTGTGAAGATTGGACAGCTCCTGACAAGCTCCGGTGAGAAACCGCCACTTGGATAAATGGTCTTTCCGGCGAGGATGCCACCAGTGGCACTTCGTCATTTGCTATTCCCTTCTCTTACACTCTTGAAAGCTTCTTTGCCACAATGGTGGTCATTCCCCTAAGTGCCAGTCCTTTCGCGAAGCTCTATTTGCAACTGGGGCCGTGCAAAGCCATTTGCTTGGCTAGCTTTGTCGTTGCGTTTTTCTGAGTTCGTCTCGCGCACACACACACACACACTTAGATGAAGGCTCACAAGAGCTGAATCAGTTGGTGAAAATCCGGATTACTGCAATTAGACCTTTACACTCGATTAGACCTTGACTTGATTCAACCGCAAGAAGTGCTGGGTCAGAAGAACAGAAGGTTTAACAAAAGTGCATTATATAGCTCTTTAAAGGAGGTTCAAATGCTTGCAGGTACGTAGTTCCGGCGTCCCAGAATTATATCGCAGTGCAACAGATGCGTCTTTGTTGGCTGGAGACATCTGAAGCACACTCCAGCCCCCTGCACGTTCCTTTGGAACAGGTGTTGACACACACACACACACTCACAAAAAGCCGGAACGGCGCACTCTCTTTTTCCGGGGGAGGGGGAGGGGGGGAGGGGGGTGTAGGAGTGCGTTGACTAAACGAGCCTGGATGTCAACCTAACAAGCCTGAAAGAAAGAACAAGACAAACGAAAAAGGCAAGGAAAGAAAAGACAAGAAAGGTGCAAGGGGTGCGTGGGGGGGCCCGGGTGTGCGTTGACTGAACGAGCCTAAACGCCGACCTAACAAGCCTGAAAGTAAGGCCAAGCAAACGAAAAAAGGCAACGAACGAAAGGGTGCAGGGGTGTGCGTGGGGTGTGTGGGGGGGGGGGTTGTCAGCTCAGGCCCGAAGGCATTTGACAGAAAGCCGATGTCGGCGCACTCTTGACTAAAAGGCCTTGGTTACACCTAAAAAGCCTTTAGCAAGAAAGAAGACCTAGAAAACGAAGAGCAACAGCAGGAGAAAAAGAACCAAAAGGTGAATACTTAGCGGGACCTATGATTACTTAGCAGCATGGTATGTCATTCTTTGGAATGGTTCTCAGTGAGCCCTGGGGCAGATGAGCCGATGAAGTTCCAGTGCAAGCTGATGTTCCTGGAAGTTTCCTCCTGGAGGGTATGTGCAAAACGCGCCCCTCGCTGGGGATCACACCACAGCCCACAGTGGGACTCTGTGGCGAGACACACTTAGATAAAGGCTCACAAGAGCTGAATCAGTTGGTTACACCCGATTAGACCTTGACTTGATTCAACCGCAAGAAGTGCTGGGTCAGAAGAACAGAAGGTTTAAAAAAAGTGCATTATATAGCTCTTTAAAGGAGGTTCAAATGCTTGCAGGTACGTAGTTCCGGCGTTCCAGAATTATATCGCAGTGCAACAGATGCGTCTTCGTTGGCTGGAGACATCTGAAGCGCACTCCAGCCCCCCTTCAGCGTTCCAAGGGAGCAGGTGTTGGCACACACCTACACCCCCACACGCCCACACTGAAAGGTCGTGCGGCGCGGACGGTACGGACGGTGCACATGCGTCTTGTTCCGCAAGGCCGGACTTTATGACCTTGGCCCAAGCAAAAATCAGCTATGGAGATCTCCTGCATGCGGTTGTTGCAACTCGGTTGCGTTGTAGCCATTGTAGCCATTGTAGCCCTTCAGTTTCCGCCAGTGGATGTAGGGGACAAACAGCTTTGGGTCTAGTAGGGATGAGCCGGCAATACCTCGTATGGCCATGGGTCCCTGCTGCTTGACACCTCAGAATGAACGAAGTATGGTCATGGGCGTTCCTAGCTTACCTTGTCACTAGTTATCGTTGCCACTTTATGGCCCATTGACCCATGGTCCGGCGCAACAAAAGGCTTTTGTACAGTGGGATAGGCAGGGGTTTGTAAGAGAAGCTCCCAAAGCAAAACACAAAACGACAACGCGCAACAAAAGACAACCAGATGGTGAAAGGCAGCATGCAAACACACCGGTCCAGAACTGCAAAACTCCAGGTAATTGGCACATGCACGGGTTAAGCCGCTTGTAAAAACTAATGCGCTGAATAGGTTTGACCACTTGGTAGTTTGTTTCCCGATCTGGAAAAGGATGAAGAGGGTCCCGCACCGTATCCCAACTGTACCATGTATGAATGCACTGTGCATATACCAGGCGTTCTCGACTTCAGGTGTTTGAAGGGCCAAAGTTGGGCAAGGTCTGACCTTTGGATGGGGCGATGTTCTGATTCAGACACTGATTCACTAACACTAAATATCAACTAATTTACTAATTTCATTTAGATGGAACAGTAGGATGACTGGACGACACGTGATTCCAGCATTGTGTCTTGCACTGAAACTGAGTCTTAACATGCAGGCCCCTAGGTGCTGAAATCTTGTATATTCGGAATACGTGTTTGTTTAGTGTTTAGTTAATTCAATGTGTCAGACCGCCGGACCACCGTACGAAGCGTCTCTCATTGACTTTGTCTATCTGCAGATCATCTCTTGGACAAGTTTTCAACATAATATGGTCTCCCGCCCCCGGGATTAAAGGGTAGGCCTTGGGCCCTGCCCCCCCACAGTAACAGTCGTAAAGGGTCAGGGCCCTTAAACCATACCTCCAAAAACAATAATCATATTCAAAGTCATTAAAGGAAATTGGATTGTAATTTCTGGTCTAGGAAACGCAAAATGATTGGAGTAGTGGGCGGGTTAACTCAAAAGAACACAAATCTGAACATAATTGCAAACCAACAACAACCAGTATCATCCCAATCCCTTCACTAATTTGTCAATCTCAAGTGGCAATTCAAATTATGATATGATGGCTCAAGACTGGAACGGTAGCAGGTGGCCAGGATTGCGTGCTCTCACAGCCAAAGGAAAGAGGAAAGAAAGAAAGGAAGGGAGATTGTGATTACACTGGGAGCAGGATGAGAGCCAAGTCCAAATTGGCTCTGGCTCCCTGCTCCACCCCCTGGCTTCCGGCTCCCCACCCATCGCTCCCGGCTCCTCACCTTGTCGCTCCCGGCTCCCCACCTTGTCGCTCCCGGCTCCCCGCCCCAAATTTTCAAAAAATTGTCCAAATCCCCGTGGTTTTTTGTGCTTTTTTTTGTGTTTTTTTCCGCCCTGGACCACAAGTCATACCACAAAAAAAAGCACAAAAAAAGCACAAGTCATACCACAAAAAGCACAAAAAAAGCACAAATCATACCACAAAAAAAAGCACAAAAAAAAGCACAAATCATACCACAAAAAAAAGCACCAAAAAAAATCACAAATCATATCACAAAAAAGCACAAACAAAGCACAAATCATACCACAAAAAAAAGCACAAAAAAAGCACAAATCATACCACAAAAAAAAGCACAACAAAACCACAAGTCATACCACAAAGAAAAGCACAAAAAAAAGCACAAATCATACCACAAAAAAAACACCAAAAAACACAAGTCATACCACAAAAAAAAGCACCAAAAAAGCACAAATCATATCACAAGAAAAGCGCAAAAAACGCACAAATCATACCACGAAAAAAAATCACAAAAAAAACGCACAAATCATACCACAAAAAAAGCACAAAAAAGCCACAAGTCATACCACAAAAAAGCACAAAAACATCACAAATCATACCACAAACAAAAGCACAAAAAAAAGCACAAAAAAAACCACAAGTCATACCACAAAAAAAGCACAAATCAGACCACAAAAAAAAAGCACAAAAAAGTCCACTA